GACCCCGTCGCCCAGCTCCAGGGTTCCTAGCGCCACCGAGTAGCACCCAAGAGTCCCCTGCGGGCGGTGAACCCCCCCTCCCACTGCACCCGCGGGCCCCCGAGCGGGAAAGTGCACGGCTGTGTGCGGGGTTGCTCCGTGGGGGGCCGACCTCCCGGAAACACGGCTCCAGCTCGCGGTGACTGCTCCGAGCTGGCGTGTGGGTACGGGGCCGGCGGGAGGTAGCCAATCCGAAAGGAGGCGTGTCATCAGCCGGTCCTGGGTTCGAGAGTTGATGCTAAGTCCAGGGGCGTGGTCTAGCAGAGCCAATGGGCAGATAGAGCTGCACCTGTGCGGGTCCCAGTGTTGAGGCGGGTACCACTTTGGAGGGCGGGACCCTGGACCCTGTCCAGGACCTGGCGAGGGAGTGAACCGAGCCATGCGGGAGCGGGGGCAGGTGACGGCCGAACCCCAGGGCGCCTCTAGTTCCTCTCGCTCCCGCTTTAGGGTTGGAAGCAGGAGACCAGGGCTTGAACCGCGTCGTGAGGCTTTGCCCAGGTGCCTGGCCCTCCATGTCCAGGTGCCCGGCTCTCCATGGGCCTCAGTTGCTCCTGTGAAATTCACCGCAGTGTCCCGCAGTGTGTCCGGCCAACGCCCCCTCCCCTCCCCAGAATCTGTTATTAACGAGATCACTGTTCACTAAACTAGTGAACATGAAGTTCCCCGGGCTCCGTCCCGGCCCCGGGGAGCCGCCGGGAATCAATAGTTGTAACAAATTACTTCGATGATCCCCCATAAATTCCTTTGAAAACCTGAGGATTCGAAGGTATCTGAAGGGCAGCGTGGCTCAGTAGTTGAGCATCGACCTATGAGCCAGGAGGTCACGGTTCAATTCCTGGTCAAGGCTCGTGCCAGGGTTGCGGGCTGGATCCACAGTGTGGGGCGTGCAGGAGGCAGCTGATCCATGATTCTATCTCATCACTGATGTTTCTAACTGTCTCTCCCTCTCCCTTCAAATCAATAAAAATAACTGTAAGAAAAGAAGGTATCCGAAGGCCCCTCCCTGAGCTGAGCTGATCGCGCCCTCGATGGAGGCTATTGTGAGGGGTACACGTGGGCCGGCTGGGTCGGGGTGCCCAGCACTTCCACTCCGATCATCACACCCCCCCTCTCCCCAAGCGCAGCGCCCGCCTGCGTGTGGAGCGCGGGTCTGTCCTGACGGAGGTGGAGCCGGGCTGGCCCAGGGCCCGAGCTCCGGCCCAAGAAGGGCCTGGTCACCCACGGTGCCCGCGGGACTCCTGCTGAGGCCACGGGAGTGAGGGGTGGTGTCGGAGAACTACCACCTGGCTCCCGCTGGGGGCGGAGCCTTATCCGAGCGACAGGCGAGCCGACCAATGGCGGACGGGATCTGGGCCTGGAAGCCAATAGGAGCTCTGTGGGCGGTGCCGGCGGGGGGAGGGAGGAGGCGCTGGAGCATCACGGATCCGCG